CTTTTCAACGTCAGTGGGTCCTGTCAACGTGGCCTTCTGTTTTTGTGCGTCGATATCAGAGAATCATTTTGACAACAGGCGCCCATGCGTTTAATGCACAATTCGCAAATTAGACGCTTACATATTTAACAAATGGTTTACTAAATGCTGATTAATTATAGAATAGTTGCAAGTAATGTATAATTATCTAATCCAATTTTATGCTCTACTGAAGGCTAGATCCACGGCTCCGGGTTAATTATTGAACAAGAAATGTTCCAGAAATTATAGACAGAGAGAGTGTAAATACAATGTATCCAAAACTTGTTTAGCCAACACTCGCTCACGTATAAATAAATCAATACGTGTGTTTCGAGACTCACGTTTTATAGTGACTTATAGTGGTGCTAGAAATTCAAATATTTAACTAGTTACACTGAATAGTAGTTATTCAAAGCAATGATCCGCAGCAAAGATGTCTTGTCCAAGAGGAAAAGTGTAGTAGAGTTGAGGTTAAAGCATACACTCGTCACGCCGAAGGCCGCTTTCCATTTCAAATAAACAATATGTGAAGCCTTTTGTGGAGTGTTATGACCGTTACATGTCTAGAATAATGATAAAAGGACGCCAAAGTCACTCAGTCGAAAAAAAGAAAGACGTTATTTGTTGTTTTACGCCGCACCCAGCAATATTGATGCTATATATAACGGCAGTCTGTACCAAATCGGATCTGGACCAGTCATCCCAGTGATTGACATCATGAGCGTTGATCAACGCAATTGGGTGAGTGATTGAGTGAGTATGGTTTTACGGTGAACCGAACACGCTGCTTTTAGCAAAATTCCAGCAATACCCCGGCTGGGGGCACCGGAAATGTACCCATGAGGTGAACCGAACACGGGTCCTCAAATTGACCACTAGGCTAATTTGACCACCAGGTAACCACTAGGCTACCTTCAAGCTTAGAATTGATCCGTGTTAAGTCAGCGAGTTTGACCCCCGATTCCCGGATCGATGTTTGATCCTTATCTGGTACGTTTGACATGATTGTTCTGTAAAACTGTTGAACTGTTGACCAGGAGTACTTCTAAACTTTAACATTTAAGCAGGGATTCAATGATTTCATAGAAAAATAGAAGAAAAGAAACGACCAAATTCTTAGTTGACCACTTCTCTTTCCCGTGAATATCAAGGTTAGAATTGATCTTTAGTAACGTAAGAGGCGACTAGAGGGATCGGATGGTCAGGATCACTGACTTGGTTGACACATGTCATCGTATCCCAACTGCGTAGATGGATGCTCATGCTGTTGATCACTGGATTGTCTGGTCCAGATTCGATTATTTACAGACCGCCGCCATATAGCTGGAATATTGCTGAGTGCGGCGTAAAGTTAAACTCACTCACTCACTCAATATTGCTGAGAGTGGCGTTAAGCAACGAACAAACAAAAACCTAGTGTCACCTTTGGTATTTTGATTATTATGAATTTACCGAAATGGTCGTCACAACTACAGAATGAATGTGATTTATCACCGGTATGTAAAACCATCCCTACGATAACTGGATACCAACAAGTATCTCAAACAGAACTCAGAACAAGTGTTTCCTGAATTTCACCTGATGCTCGCCATAGAAGTCATGTGCAGGTGAGGAAAACATCGGATAAAACTGACACAGTTATCTCCCTTGAATTAACTATAACCTTTGATCACTGGATTTGATGTGGGTAAAATCAAGAAATTGTACTTGTCGCTGGTCTGGTCCAGACTTGATTATTTACAGACCGCCGCCATATAGCTGGAATATTGCTGAGTGCGGCGTAAAACTAAACTCACTCACTCCTATTGATGCAATAATAGACTTATCATCCCTTAGAGTGAGAGTCGATTTAATGCAACGTTGAATTAATTAATTCGAACGTTTTAATTTAATATTGTAATCTAAATACGTAATTCGTTTAAAATAGATTATATGGTAGCTTCCCTGAGGGCTGATAGTTAGTATTATTGAGAGAAAGGCATTATTTATTTTAGAGAAGTGTGGTGTGAAATAGTGCCTTTTAGTAGGAGTGCTTTGAAAATAGAAACTAAAATTAAATTTAAATTCCACCAACCTATCTACACAGTTTATTTCCTTGCTACCAGTGAAGATCTAGATTAGAATTGATCTTCAGCAACTCATGCTTGTCAGAGGCGACTAACGGGATCGGGTGGTCAGGCTCTCTAACTTGGTTGACACAATGTCATGTCTCGATGTTCATAATGTCAATGACTAGTTGCGACGTTAAACAACAAACCAGCACTTCAAGTTATTTCCTTGCCACACCGATGTTGTGTGTGTCGAGTCATCCATCTCACACCAAGCACAGCTGGATATCACGTTTATCACGGTATGCACGTTCATTTGTGATGTCATGGAACTTAATGAATCCACGCTGTGGGCGGGACGAAAATGAGAAAGCCCACGGACAACAACCAAGTCGGAAGGTAAGAGAGTACAGCTTGCCATCATTTGTATCACACATACATCAGAGACCATACATATCGGTATATGGTCTCTGCATACATACACAGACGCCACGAAAGCGGAAGGTCAGCAATTCCATCTCCTACCACATCATCCCAACCCCCAGGACAAACGCTGTCCATTGTCCAACTGCAGTAGACATTTAAACGTTTGCTTAAACCCGATTCGCATTAGTTTGTGAAATCACCACGTTTAAACTACGTTAAGTTTAATAGAGTCACAGTCACATGATCGCTCTAAAATCCCTCCAAACTGATGGTTTTCACTTGGCGACAAACGAAGCGGCCGTAAAATATCTAGATCCGCGCCTGGTTCCATGTCTCGTCAGCAAAAGATCCAGTTAGTTTTTGTTTTGTTTATTTTGTAAACTCATCAACATTCCATCTATATGGAGACAGCCTGTAAATATTCGAGTCTCGACTAGACAATCCGGTGACCGATATTGTGAACGTCGCTCCACACTGTGTTGGGATGGTGCCAAATCACCGATGCATTTGGAAGCGTTCCCACAACCCGCTAAACGTGATAGGGGACCTACCAGGATATCTGGTATGCTATTCTTTGACATATTCTCGGTTCTGAACCACTGATATTCTATTCCATTCAAACTTGAGCTTTCAGTGAAGCCCATTTCTTGTGTCCCCCGCTGTGATATTGCTGGAATATTGCTAAAAGCGGCGTAAAACTAAACTCACTCACGATTGCAGACTTCTGTGAAAAAGTTTGGACATCGTTCTTAACTTCAGCGTTACAATATATTCCTGATCACACTGAAACAAACGTCAAGCTGAAATTCCATATTTACAATAATACATAAACTTTATTCTAATGTACAATGGCATGGAAATAAAACGCTGGATAATAGAGCTGACTTCTGTAACTTGGCACAGGAACCTATATATTCGTAGGAATATCATTAAAAACATCAAATGCTTGATTATTACTCGACCTCACTAAAACTGAAAAATGAACATAGCCAAATAGGTTAATAAGTGAGTGAATAGTTTATTCCAAGCAAAATGTTCAATCTGTTTCTCGGCCAGACATTTAACTCAAGCCAGTGTAGTGAATGAATGTTGTTAGACGTCGCTTGAAATAGCATGTCAGCTATTTTACAGCGTGTCAACGTTGTGTTGGTGGAAATGATGTAGCTGTGCAGGTGTCAGATGTGTATCTCCTTTGAGCTGGTTGGTTGGTTGTTTAACGCCGCATTCAGCAATGTTTCAGCTATATGGCGGCGGTCTGTAAATAATGCAAGTCTGGACCAAAGGACAGTGCAGGGTGCGCACAACAGCATGAGCTGAAACTTTGTTAAATGACCATTGGGGTGAAAATGAAGTGTGCGCCCCTCCATTTTCTCAATACCACCCCCCTTTCTCAAAAGCGGTATCCGCCCCTGCCATTAGAGTCTGGACCAAGCGATCCATCAGCTTGGCATCGCTTTATAGCTAAGATACATAGCGTTCACTGACATGAATATCAGTGAACGCTATGTATCTTAGCTACAATCTACGCAAGTGGGATACAATGACATATGCCAACCAAGTCAGCGAGCCTGACCACCCGATCCTGTTATATTTCCTTTGGAAAACCCACAAGCACGTATGGTGGCTCATTCGGGCCATAGCTTTATCGGCACGAGAAGGCTGCTGAAAAATCACGATGAATTCCCGCGAACCTTCGGCGCGACCCAACGATAAAAAAAGTACTGGCAAGTCAAAGGGCCGCAGCTCTGACAGCTTACTGAGACGACTGGCAACCAAGAAAGTAACATGCTTTCTTTGTGGGTTGAGGCAGGAAGCCAACGGTTCATTATTATCATAATCTGCAATTTGCAATGATATGGACTTAAATGATGCCTTTAGATAATGGTTTGTGAAATTCTGTGTTTATAGTGAGTATGGTTTTACGCCGTTTTTAGCAATATTCCATCAATAACACCAGAAATGGGCTTCACATACTGTATCCATGTGGGGAATCCAACCCGGGTCTTTGGCGTGACGAGCGAACGCTTTAACCACTACGCTACCCACCGCCCCTGTGTTTATATGAAAATATAAAACCGATGGTCACTTTACGGAAATACGGAGTATGATTTTTTGAATGCTTGTTGAATCATTGTTGCATAATTCAATAAGAAACCTGCCAATAAATTTTGTGACAGAATTATAATAATTTTGTTGACTACGAAAAGCCATAAATACGTAAGAAAAAGAACATTTGTTTAATCAGATAAACGGATGTTCATGTCAAGTTGTCAGGTGGTGTAGCCCAGTGGGTGAAGCGTTTGCTCGTCACACATATGTCCTGAGTTCGATTCTGGTGATCCAAGCTGTGATTTTGCTGAAATATTGCAATACGGCGTAATACCGTACTCACCCACTCTCATCTGCTGATGTGATATTTTCACTAGTGACTGGATCAATATAATCGAAATATCGAGTGATTGACATCATGGGCATCAGTATACGAATTGGGACACGATGGCATGCAACAACTAATTCAGGCAGCCTGATCACAGGACCCAGTTGATCACCTGAAGAACAATTCTTACCCGCCCATATTTAATGAGATGTCAAGAACGAAGATAGTCACACTAACGATTCCATAGCACCGAGTTTAACAATGAAAGGGACTACTGGTTCATGATCAGACTGCAACTTGGTTCCATTCTGGTGTGATTTCAGCCATGCTGGCTGCAATTCGAACATGGCAGTGGAGTCTGAGCATGTTTCCGAGAAGGATCGTTTATGTTTGATTGGCGTAAATCCTGTTTGGCAGTTGAGCTGTAACTCTGAATTTTCGCGAACATAGGATTCAGATTTGTGTCTGTTTCTAGAAGGTCGAAATGACGTCAGTTCCGGATGAGGCGGAACCTCGGCCAAGAACTCTTCAAAATTTGGTACGTCTTTAGACTGGTTGTCTGGGGGCAGTACATACGTACAGTCGGAGGAGTGAGATTCGCTGCTACACTGGCAGCTTGGCCCCGGTTGGGTAAGTTCAACGTTTGCTAACCACATTTTCACACAGTCTTCTTTCGTGAGTTGTCGAACTTGCTTTGTGTCCTTGACCTTGGTACGTAACGAGCCTACACACACTGCTGTGGAGTTAGTTCCACCAGTCAGAGACTGAGATGATGTCCTCCCAGATAGTTTCTGAGCGTCCCTAAAAGTATTCGTACTTGCTGTACGAGTGTCGCTGTCATTCCAGTTGAATTCCTCGGGACTGACAGCTTTACTCCCGCGAGAAGAGTCCGGTTCTTTAACACCAGACTGCTTCCCAGACGTGACTAGAAAATGTGACACGGACGGTAACCGTAGTTGTAACCTCTGCCACATTGAGCTTTTATTAATTCTACTTTGCACTACATTCCTATTATCATCATTGGGAATACCACCACGAGTGGCAATAACTCCTGATGTCTCACTAGTTCCAACCAAACTAGTCCCGACGGTGTTAGTGTTACGACTATTGGAAGAACAGATATCCAGACTGACTTCACTTCTATTCCTTGCCCTTCTGTTTGTTCCTGACCTTCCCAAAAAGAATTTAGTTGCTCTCCGTGGTAGTCGTGACTGAATCTGAGTAGCAGGTGCTTGGGATGCATATCTGGACACTCGAGTTGGGTCATCAATAGAACAGGACTCCTGGGTTCCTGTCTTGTACGTTCCATAATCGGTAGCTGAATCACTAGCTCTTGGATCCACGGATGTTGTACGTCCAGATACACGTCCAAAACCCATGGCTATTTCACCACTTCGAGTTTCACTTTCATGAAATGGAATCCTATCTGTTACACTTCGACCTTCACCAACCATCCTTGAAGACGATCGACTTGGCTGGTCCTTTTCCATTTGCGTCCTTTTACTCCGATCTTTCCCATCAGAGGTGTTTAAATGGTTGTCAATATTGGAACTTATTGATGGTATTGGAGGTATGCCTTTAATGATGTTGTTGCTTTCTAGGATGGTCGCCTGGTCTGGCGTCTCCGACTGGATCAGTTGTATATTTGACGGTGGGATGATGAAGCCACAGCTCATGAATTTTAAAATCAGCGCACAGATGAAGAGCGCTAGCACAGTAACAATGACGATTAGTTTGGTAATATAGTCATACTCCTCTTCCGCTTTCACAAGCCACACTGCCACCATGATTATGTTTTCAACCAGGATGACAGTATAAAAAGACACATACTTACATTGCACTTTATGTAAATCCTTTTCTACGAGGTCAAAAATATTCAAGAAAGATAATCCAAGCCTCATCAGAACATCCTTCAGGACCAAGGACTCACTTTTCACAGCCTTGCAGCTCATATATCCAAATATCAGGATCAACATGTGGAGCGCAAGGAGTATCAACACAAAATATGGCGCTGCGAGATTCATGAGGACAATACATGCGACTCTGGCAGTAAGGGCAAGAATAGTTCCCACCAACAGCAGGAATATTCCACAATATCTCTTGGCGTTGCCAGTGGAGACGCCGCTGTCATCGTTCCAGGAACAGGAGTGTAGCTGGTCGCGGACACAGAACATAGTCAGACTGATAGAAGCCGATAGAAGAGCTACGGACAATGTTAACACTGGCACGACTTTGATACTCATTGTAGAAAACATTAAACATCCATGAAGCGCTAGAAAAGGCAGGGTCTGGATGGCAACGTGAGTCAGTCTTAGACTCGTCATTTCGAACCAGTCCCTTTTGTCATACAGAAAGACAAGCTTCCCGAACCTCCAGGCGAGGCCGAACTGGCACAGATGAAGTACAAAACACAGAAGCTTCCCGAAATATTTGTCCGAGAAGTCCATTGACGTTCTGACCATCATGGCTGAAGACGTGTTGATGAGGACGAAGGAGAGCAGGACTAGGACGATGTAAGTGATGAAGAAGGCCATATGGTCAAGGAGCTCGGTGGTCAGGTAGGATATCAACAGCGTCTCCAGGTACATGGTAATGATGCTTGTTGTGAGTAAAGGGTTCACCATCTTGATATCCGAATATCTCATATGCTATGGCATTATGCTGTTTGGGCTTCCGTTGTCAACCTTGGCGTTTCTGGCTTCGGATTCAGGTACACGGCAATGGTGCATGGTGACTCAACATTATGAGATATATCCTTTGTCTACTTTTACATGTTGTTTCTGAACGGATTTCCTTCGTGGAGTATCAGCCGGGGAAGACAAATATTCTCACATGCTTACACTTCTGATCTATCCGTGTGCATAACTCCATCCAATAGGCCTTCGATCTGCAGTCGAATATAGTTGCCCGTCGCGATCAAACAACGCTCTCCTTTGACTCATCCTCTGTGTAGTGTTCACCTGTCTTCTACTCCCAAACCGCTACCTGCAACATTGAAAACAACTTTTGTTGAGTAAACACGCAGACATGCCGTTTTCTTGCCAGTGAGTGTGACCCACACCTTTTTCTAGTCTGTAATCTTGATAGCAAACACCGAATGTATTGCTTGAAGTCGTTGCATAATAGGACCGTTAATTGTTTTTGCCGAAAGCCAATGCACTCTTTCGCTGTGAGACTTTTAACTACACTACATTTTTCTCTCGAAATAGTCGTATTATAGGAATGTTTTCTCTTAGCGCACCGCCTACTTTCAAAGCGGGACGCTATGGCTAGACGTACCTGACTTTCAACTAGACCATTAACAACAGACAGTCACATGTACATCGACAGTTACTTGTACAACTTCACTCTATACACCTATGTACAAGCACTTTATACCTACACCACTGTCCACCGTATTTCTTTATACATAAGAAGATTTAACATTAAGATAGATATCAGATTTGAGTGCCCGCCACGGGTATTATATTACATCCGGGCTTTCATGTGCCAAGCATGAATTTGCCACCCTAGAGTTAAGGTGAGAGGTCAACTCGATCTATTGCGGAAAGGTCATATTACCCATTAAAACACGAACCAATGCAAGACTCATCGCAATTGGGCGTTTACCTGAAATCCTTACCTTTTGCTGACAATAAAAACGAAATAAAGCCTTTCCGATTACTAACGTTGCATGCGAACATTAATTAACAGCATGTCTGTCACGGAATGTATTTCGGCGTCAGGAAATGGAAACCGCGTGTTCGGAATGATGGAGGAGAGCGAGTTTAGGTCACAGGTATAATTTATTATACCTATATATAGGTTTATGTTATAATTTATGTAATCGAAGAAGTAACTTTACATGTGAAAAAAAGAGGGAGCGGCTGTTTGCGTTAACGGTGCGGATATTTGATCGAGATGTTTTGAAATACGAAATAGATATGCAGAGAAGATATCTTCAGAGAATGGTTGTGTAGAAAAAAGTTAATCCCGTACAAGTAAAAAAATGAAATTGTATGGGTTTAACGTGTCGAGCTTCCAAAGAGGTGAGAATATTTCGCTCATATGACGACGTGCATGCGTGTGTATGTGTATGTGCGCCTGCTTGTACTAGCCCAGACTGAAGCTGTATTTTTAGTGCTAGCCCACTGAGATACCATGCCGCAGTGAAGCAGAAATACCCCACTAGCTTCCAAAGAATACTGTTTGTTATTAACATAATCTAATAAGCACTTCTATATTTTGGGAAATGTGAAAACCTTATAATAATGCTCATTTCAAACCAAAATAATTACTTCTTTATGTATGTGCATTATGTTAGCGGTTGTCTGGTCCAGACTCGATTGTTTACAGTCCGCAGTGATACAACTGGAATGTAGTTGTGTGAGAAGGCGTTAAACAACGAACAACAACAACTAAAATAATGTTTAAAAATATATTTTTAATTAAAAATAACGTCCGTAAGGTTTAGAAACCATACTTGATATCATGTAGGGAGAAAATGGCTTTATCATCTGGTCTCCTCTGTTCGTATTTATTCTTACAAAATTCATTAACCTCTTTACACAGAAGGCGACGAAGATACAGTTTTATGAAACATCCGCTTCTAATCCAACGAATATTTGCCACATTTCGTACAATGGTAACTCAATCAGGACACATACGTGACAAAAACAAACAATATATTATAGTCACATGGTTAAACACACGTACCCGATCTGATACACCCTGTCCAGGGTTCCTCTGTAAACCATTCGGGGTAGATCAATACCCTTGTTTCTCGAGGGACATGATTATACGGGTATGAACTTGGTGTCGCTACCCGTCTAACACTGCCTCGTTTACACACGGCTTTAACCGTGGTTTATCAATCTGCAATGAGAATGCCATTCATACACTCCTGCGGTATATATATGACAGAAAAAGGCTGAACCTGATTACAGCGTTCTGCCCGCATTTACCACTCAGACACGGAACAATTTATTTGCTAATCCTTTTGATACAAGGGAAGAGAACAACTTGATAAATACAATTTTAACAATGAGGTTAATAATTAAAGTTCAGCGGTTATCTTGTTTTCTGATCGAACTAAATTAAAAAGGGTGTTGAAAAACTATTACAATCGGTTGCCCTATATTAAAGGACGTATAACCTGGCATGTGAGGAGTATAAATGGAGATATAAGAGGTGTGTATTAAGACATATTACGCTATAATTACTACAGGATTAGTATTCGTGTGAGGGTAATATACTCACAGATATTTCTGTTCTGGGCTATCGCTAAGATTTCAATACAGGTCAGATGTCCCGCGCTCTTTATCAGATATGTCTCGGCTTTGATATTAATGTCCCTTTAAGGATGTCAATAAATGAGATCCGAATTGCATTTTTATACGTAGAACCGTATAACACTTCCGTGACCAGTTTTAATCAGTTTCAGGTTATAAGGCGGTTTAAAGTGTTAACGCTGATTCTTAAAGCTTCCAAAGAGTGGCAGACACGTGGAGAACATTTCTAAATTTTCCATCCATGACAAATGACATGTGGTGTAATTCACTATTTTGATTTGAAGCATATTTTCCTGTGTTCTTGTTTTTTCAGGTGAATAATTAACTTGCCTTTGCACGTATTTGCACGCGATCATGATACAACCGGAAGCATACAATCGACTTATGATGGAGACTCCTCATGATTAAGGGGCGGTGGGGTAGCCTAGTGGTTAAAGCGTTGGCTCGTCACGCCGAAGACCCGGGTTCGAATCATCACATGGGTACAATGTGTGAAGCCCATTTCTGGTGTCCCCCGCCGTGATGTTGCCGGAATATTGCTAAAAGCGGCGTAAAACCAAACTCAGTCAGTCAGTCAGTCCTCATGATTACGGTACTGTTTATGTCTCTATATTTACACTTATATATTTACTACAGTAGTCTTTTCGCTTGTTTTTTTTAGGTACTCGAGTATAGGACCACAGGTCATTCAATCTTTAATAGCCTTGCCAGACCATGAGCAGTCACCATGGTAAACAGCTTGTTCGTCCTACACATGATTCCGATAAATATTTCTGACAATGAGAATGTGTGTTGATGTAAATATTTTTGCTCCCATAATAATTCAAGACTATAAAATCTTTCCAAAGACATAACTATTTATGAACATTAATACACAAGTGAATTCTTAATTGCATCCGACCCATGAAGAGCTGGGTTAGAACTGATCTTCAGTAACCCATGCTTGTCGTAAGAGTCGACTAACGGGATCGGGTGGTCAGGCTCGCTGGCTTGGTTGACACATGTCATCGGTTCCCAATTGCGCAGGTCTATGCTCAAGCTGTTGATCACTGGAGTGTCTGGTTCAGACTCGATTATTTACAGACAGCCGCCATATAGCTGGAATATTGCTGAGTGCGGCGTAAAACTAAAGTCAGTCACTCACTTTATTGCACCCACTGAACAATTATAATTTTCGCTGTAAATGATATTTTCCGAAATAGTTCCTTCCCCGAAATATAAAGAGGTCGGTACTCTACTATATGGGATCTTCGGACACTGCAGTTTTCAGAGTAAGCATTAGTTTAAGAATATGTCTTTCTCATTATCTTGACTTTGATCCACAATTCTGCATGTACCTGGCTGAAATCTACAGATCATCAAGATCCTCAGGGAGTATCTCATCCAAATGAATCCAAAATGACCATGTATTTTGCTGTAGCCAAACTTGTTTTCATACTGGAAAGTATATTCTTACAATTCGGCTAAGCTACAGGATCAAGTGTAAATCATTAACTTCAGACACACATACACAAAAAAATAATAAAAAACTGAATCACTGAGTGAGTATTGAATTCACTTCTTATTATCACATGCGTAGTTTGGGCTATCAGATATTGCTGGACGGATATACAGAACCCTGTTGTCTCGAATTCGGATGAGTCGAATCCCCCGTTGTATTGTACTCACTGAACGGCCCCAGGAAACCATTCCTATTTCTAATTCAAACAAGATGTTTCGAACTGTTCGTCACAACAGGACTTCGACTCAATGCGATCAACTTTACATGACAATATCTTTCTACAATACAAACAATGGAGGTAATCAAACTTACGAGACACCCAACTGTTCCGGGTCTGACACAACTTCAAACCTCAACCTCAAACCTCAACCTCATACTAACTGCTAGGGCTGTAAAGACGCATCGAACTATCGCTCGATGGCAATTGTTGAGTCTCCGATAGCAATTAATCGATGGTGGAAACGAAAAATTATCGATGCATCGATAGTATGTGTAACTATCGATAGTTTAGTAATTGACTTCCGTTGATAAATGCGCAGCGCAAAATACAGGAAATACCAGACTCGTTCACTTTGATTTTGAGTTATCCGCCCCTGTTACCTGTTTACTTGATCTTGGTTTCAAGTTTCTTGTCATCACAAGAGACTGAAACTACTTCAGCCTGTTTTTATTTATTATAAACTATACATTCATTTGGGAAATGACTTCAAATGAGACAATTCAAGGAGAGAAAAAACTATTGAAATAGTTGTTTTACCTCAATAGTCGCCCCTACTAACTACTAGTCGGGTAATGGTGGGCGAGCTGGCTAAGGCGCCAGGCTAGTGATCCAGCGAGCTGGAGGTGCCTGGAT